AGGGTGCTGAGCTTGGCGTTGAGGCAGGGTCGGTACGCATTCCAGGAAAACAGTCAAGAGTCAGGCTATGGATTATCCTGCGAATGAGTCCTTGAATTCCGCCAATTCCTTTCCCTGCACTTATGACAACGGCATCCTCAAAAGCTTTAGATGCTGCACTGACATCACCAAGAGCATACAGCATATTTCCTTTAGCATGTATGAGAGCTAGCAGTCGACCATTTTCAGCTCCAGGTATTGCGAATCCACTTGAACCAAACCCAGCCTTTTCAGAACTATCTTCAAGCCTTTCACTCAAAATTGAGCGACGGTCCCTATCGTCGTAGTCAACAACTGTATCAGAAGTGGTACTCGCGAAATCGTGAAACTCTCGGTCAGTACTACTCGAGGTCTCGCTGTAATGATCATAATGATCATCCGGTTTAGGAATCCGTAAAGACCGCTCTACAAATTCAATGATAGCAACCGCTTCCTGACCGCGATGATCACCACATAGAAGACCTATCAGATGTTCAACAGCCTCAAAATAATTAGGACGAAGGTTGACAGATTTTCGCCAGTTTGCCTCTGCTTCATCGCGTCTCTGCAGGCACAAAAGTGTTGCCGCCAGGTTTGAAATTGCTTCCACATGCCTGAGATTAAAGTTAGCTAGGGTGTCATTTCAATGGCGTCTTGTAACGTACCTTGGATCTATAACGATTATCTTCTCATACCAATCTCGCGCTCTATTGTAGTCTTCTAAACCGTATGCAAGACACCCTCCCAATAACATGCCATCGACCCAAGTCCAGTGACTTTCCTCGCAAAGACTAGCAAGAAGATCCAGTGCTTCTTGAGCGTTAGATGTGGGAGATGCTATGCTGTGCTGCGACAGTTGGAAAGAAGGCACGTAGTGACCTGCTCCCATCACTTGATTCATAGACCGCGAGTATCTACCGTCCGATGGTTCCGTGAAGCCATAGGAATTACGGTGACTGAGACTTGGACGATGGCCTCTCAAAGGTGTACCGTCTTGGGAGGGCCCTGGTGAAGAGAAAGTTGAGCTCGGCTGCCTTGGTGGTTTGGGGTATATAACACTTTTGGCATAGGGTTTAGAGCCATTAGATAGCCGATTCTGTCGATTCTCCTTTTTCGTCTGATGCAAATAGGCCAACAGATCTACATAGATAGCATGCGCCCAGGAAAGCGTCTTTTCCTTAAATTGGGCATTTCCAGCCCTACTCAGTGGTTGGATCAGGGTACTCGAAGGATCAGAGAAAACTGCATTGCTGCTGCCACCAATTTGATACAGATTTTGTTGCATAGAATCATATGATTGTGAGTGATCACGCATCCGTGGAAATGATAAATCTCTATGAAGTGGTGGGTTAACGTTGTCGAATTCCGATTGCCGTAAAGGGTGGACCCCTCCAAAGTACTCCGATCCAAGCTTTACATGTTGACAGTCATGGCCTCCATATGTGTGGTCCCTATAAGCCGCGGGCCGGTAGGGAGTGTAACTTCCATCTGGCCAGTACGGGCCGTATAGACCTCCATCGTTTGATGCAGTAGGGCCAGGTCCGGGTTGGTAAGCCGGCTGTCGCGCAGTTGGAACGGAAACCCCAGCCGGTGAGAAATAAGAAGGGATCTGGTGCATAGGTGATACATGGCCCGGGGAACTATAAAAATTGTTTTGAAGAGGGGTAAATGGTGTCCAATTCTGCGACGATAAATTATTTACTCGCTGATCAAGATTATTGAAATTATTTGGCGAATTGAAATTCCACCCAGACCCTGCCATACCATTCGACCCATCTGAGTATGCTGAACCTCCCGAGGCATCAAGTACAACGTGCTTCAAAGCCGGTGCCTTGCTAGACCACTGCACAGGAGTTCCATCATACCCCGCGGCTAGTGTCCCATTTGGAGTTTTCCGCCTCAGCATGTGCTCTCCACCAAAGTCTTGATCTGATATACTGCGACTAACCGCTAGAGGTCTTTGATATTCATTGCTATCGACTGGGTAGGGGCGATGGAGAGGGGTAAGGGTGGAGGAACTGAGATTTCTAGAATTTCGAAATGGTAACGGCGCAGGTCGATCTGCTCTCCCATTCTGAGGGGGAGGTTCGAATGGAGGGTTTCCATATCCAGGAGTCGCGCCCAGGTGCTGCGAAAGATAACGTCGAGCAATTTGAGGATTCATATTTCATTACTTGTAAGTTTAGTTTAGTATTGGGAAAAACAACAAATGGGTATATATTGCAAAAACTTGGGTCATCAAATGAAGTAGGTCGTTGATTCATGAAAACCAAGGTGTGCCAATGCCTGCACGAAGGAGGGGAATTGTTTCTCTGCTGCTCATTTCTGCTTGTCATATGCAGTAGCCCGAGGGCGTAGGTCGTCTTGACGTCGCGGCAATACCGGGTTTCTCTTTGGGGGGCCTTTCCTCGAAGAATCGAAGTAGGGTGGTAATAAGAATAGGAATAGGAATAGGAATTGGAATGGTAAAAATTATTGATGGGAAGCTCTAAGAGTCTTAGGGTCCTACCAAACGGTCGAAGTGGAGCATTCCTTGGGTGCGTAGTGGGTGCGTAGTGGGTGCGTAGTGGGTGTAAGTGGTGCAGTGGGTGCAGTGCGTAAAATGATGCGGATGCGTTGCAAGGCTTATCGTAAGTAAAAACCTTTTGTGTAAAAAATCAATGCAGATGCCAGGGACTGGAGGACGACGAACAGTGGGGAAAGCAGATGCATTCAATAGAGGTCGGTCGGTCGTGAAGCGATAGGCAAAGGTCAGGGCAGAAAAGGGTAATCAGTAAGGTAAAGGTAAAGGGAAAAGGGAAAAGGTCGAATGAGAGCGGGATGAGGATTAATGAAGAATGGCTGATGATAAGTAGGTGGGTAGTTGGAGTCTCTAGTCTCTAGTGCAAAAGAATGTTTCCTTTGAGGGGAAAAGATCTATGATAATGAAATCATTTATTTCTTTTGGGAGAGAGGGGGAGAAAGGGAGCGTTCTGATTTGAAGATTGCAAATTGAAGAGAGAAGACTGAAACTCAAGAGTGAAGATTAAAGTTGTAAGAAGTAAGTTTCGGTTCGGGTGATGATACAAGGTAGGTGGTGGGTAGTAGATAGTAGATAGTAGATGGTGTAGATATATGTTGAGTTTGGGTGGAGGCTTGGATTAATAAAATTGTCAAGGTATAGATGTGGGTTGAGGTAGGTATAGATGAAGGTGTAGGTATAGATGAAGGTGTAGGTATAGATGAAGGTGTAGGTATAGATGAAGGTGTAGGTATAGATGAAGGTGTAGGTATAGATGAAGAATGAATTGTAACAGAGAGATGGGCGGAGAGAGAGGGAGCACCGATGGACGGAGGCAATAAAGAGAGAGGATAGAATAATAAGAATAAGAAGAAGAATGAAAACGATGTGATTACCATACAGATAAATCCCAGGTAGATGGAGATAGAATTTGGTTTGCATAGGTACATACATATAACTTGTTGCCTATCCCATATGGGTAGGTACATAATACATATGTATGAATTAAATCATCTACTCGATCTGTACAGATGTATACTAGGTAGGTAGGTAGGTAGGTAGGTACCTAATATCCAGTTATCCAGTTATCCAGTTATCCAGTTATCCAGATAGTTAAGCCTTGATTGTTGAAATGTTGAAATCTCAAATGCTTCTTTCGGTCAAAAAATAGATGACGGGTATGTAGGGTAAGGAAGGTACTATGTCACTACTACCTACCGGTACATATTACTACAGTACCATATTACCATATTACCATCTCATATATCCATCCCCATTACACGGATAATCAAAAAAAACCCAGACAGGCTTTCAAATCGTATTAACTTCATTAACTCGGATCCAATCCTGCAGGAAATGGGAAAAGAAGGCAAAGCACAGATAAAGAACAAGGTTTAATTTCAAGGAATTGATCCAATCATGCTCAAGAGAACAAGGGCCATGATGGCTGAAGCGCCTCTCAGCTTCTTTTGGCTTGGGGTACCACAAGTTCACGACGAAAAAAAACCCCTTCATGTCTTTCTTCGTGCGTCAGCAGGAGTCAGCGTAACATACAAACGATTCTTCATCCAAGGACGAAATATCTAGGTAGCAACTTTAGAATTCAAAGCAAGAAATGTGATAATGAAGCAAAAACATTGAAATGAAAGCTTTGATATCAAATTCCAAAAGGTGGAATCGATTTACTCTATGAATTCTAATTCTTTCAAAGGTTTGCATCTACTGTTTACACCACAATTTCAATAAAATAAAACTGCATCTACTCGGTCAAAATCAAAATAATGGCACCTCGGCGCCGTAGACTGCCATTCCACCCCCTCCACCCATCATCAACCATTTTATGCACTACCCCTGTTGTGATCATCGCTGCGCAAACCAATGAGTTGATATTACAGCCCAATTGGCACCAGTACGCCGAAGCGTATAACTACTATCTGTCAAGATGAGTGAGTATGCAGTCACAAACATGAAGCGAACTTTGAAATAGCCGGACAAATCAATTCATATGTGAATCAAAAATTCATAAACAGTTACAACCATTTCGGAAGAACGATATGCTGTGGTGACTAGCCGGACAATTGCTTTCTTGGTTTCCAAAGCTTGCTAAAACCACGAATCGAACCATCCAATAAAGGGGAGGAAATTATCGACTCGAAGCCTTGACAAGTATTGCCGGTCTCGTCGTTAGGGGGTGTAAAGATGATTTGCTGGGGCGTTTGACAAATACTGCCAGCTAGTGCCAGTATCGAAGCGTCCCTGTCGAGGATATATATAAATATTCTCGAATACTTTCTTGGCATCCTCTTGGGCATTCTCATATATTGGGACATTCACATCAATTCACGCGTAAGTTAACTGTAAATCGAGGAATCACCATGTATGAGATAGCAGATTGGTTTGTTGAATCATTGACATTGCTCCCCCAGCCTATTGTGAAGTATGTAGCCCGTGAAACATTGCGATTAATGAAGTAAATTTTGATTTATTCCTCAGGAACTAATTTACAGGGTTAGCAAAAGAACGGAAAAAGAATTCCTCTGAAAAAAATACTTACTCTCGATCTCTCCAGACTCGATATCGTCGCTAACATCCTTTGGACTTCTTCCATCAACTTGGCAACCAACGGAGTAAGCGGTACCCAAGATCTCCTTGACGGTACCCTTCAACTCCTTTGCGAGAGACTTGAATCTCATAGTTCTGGCGATCTCGATAACCTCATCAAGAGCAATTGACTTGCTGTGCTTGATGTTCTTCTCCTTCTTGCGGTCACGGGGAGGCTCCTTAAGGGCCTTGATGACGAGGGAGGAGGCGGATGGGACAACGGAAACAGCGGCTTGACGGTTTTGGATGGTGAGTCTGACGGTGACTCTCAATCCTTTCTACACAACACATATTCATCAGTTCTCGCTCCCGATTGCTATTCGTTTCTGCGGATTGTGCATACCCAGTCTCCAGTGGCCTTTGCGATATCTTCTCCGACTTTCTTTGGTGACAAACCAAGAGGACCGATCTTGGGAGCCAATGCTGAGGAAGCACCGACTTCACCACCAGTGGCTCTCAGGTGGCTATTAAATTATCGTTAGCATGACTTCGGCTGTGAGATGATACATCGAGGTTCGCAATTCGTATGTTGATCGTGGTGAGGAATTTTGATGTATTTTTCTCGTGTAGGTTACATACATGATCTTGATCTCATTGGGGTCCAACTTTGGAGCTAAATTTAACTTGTTAGTTACAATGAATTATCGTATCGATGATATGTGGTGGGCTCTTACGCATGGTGACTGTGGAATGGAATCGGTTTGGTGGGAATGGTGTCGACGATTGATTCTGTTGAGATCAAAATTCACAATCTGTAGAAATTCTTCAAATTGGTATGTGTGGAAAACTTTCGGTTAACTAGGCTAGTCCGGTTTAAGGCAAGGTTGACGTTGTTGATCCAGATGTATGTGTGCCTAATATACAAGGTCACAAAAATACAAGGATATGGATTACATCAACTACGACAAACCGCAGGGTTCATGGCCAGGCGTAAGGCTGACTACTCAGATATGTTATGCTTGAGTTACCTATAGCTAGGTAGGTAGTAGAAGATGAATGTTACAATATTGTTAATAACAATCAATCACCTCAATCAAAAATCACACAACTGAACCATTATTTAGATGATCTAATAGCTATTATTGTATACCTAATCAACATCGCAATCAAGTCAACGAAATTCTTGGATCAAATCTCATCGCGAAACTGCGCCACCAACGCTTCAAATGCCCCCCAGTTCTTTTTGGTAGAAATACTCCTCATCAATTCGTTCCGCTTACAGCCAATCTGTGAAAGAAAAAAGATGGGTTAGTTTTGTGCACTTTAGGATACAGCTTAGAGTGGAATAACTTACTTCATGAGATGATCCATGAAAGTTTGTAAAGAGACGTCGTCAGTAAAGATCGTTTGTGCTGTTTGAGCTCCCACTCCGCCATATGCACCCGTAGTATGTGTAGTAGATGGATTCAGTTTTGATAACAAGAAACGTGCTTGAGAACCACCGGCATCACAAACGATGAAACGCGGCAAGGGAAATCGGTCGGTAATCAAATCCTACTTGAGTCAGTATACTGTGTATCCAAATTCGTGTGACTTATAGCACTTACTCTGGCATCCTCCTTTGGTTGTTCCAGAAGTGATGCAAAATTCTCATATCCTTCTTGATCCTGATAGCCTGCTTTCCTCCATTCTGCAACGGTCTCTCCGTGGAATATCAGGATGTGGAAGAAAGTATCCAAAAGAAGAATATGAGTTGGTTGGATGGATGTAGAATCGAGTAGTACAGGTTGGCTACCATCTTGGTCGAATGTGTACGAGTCCAAAGTGGGCTGTATCATGATCAAGGAGTTACTAACATCCTCATGGTTGAGTACATGTCTATAGAATGCAGTCTCATCAGGTGAGTTGTTGAACACTTGCAAGAACTGACTTCTCCTAAGATGAAACATGAATTGAGGGTAAAGTGTAAAGTTCTTCTCGAGTCTGAAAGACGATGGGTCATCCTTTCGATAATCGGCAAATCGCGAACACAGACGGATAAGCATTCTATCCACCCATCGTAAAACGTCTGGTCCATCGTCAACTTCGGCTTTAAATACAGCAATTCTGGACATCAAAACCGCAGCAGCTTCTTGATCGAAAGACTGAGCAATCGCAGGATCTCCAGCTGGTCCACTCAAGTTGCGAGAAATTGTTGTCACACGGAGGTGGAATTGGCCTGAGGAATGCTGATAGTATGTAAGGAATTGCATCATTCCCTTTGCTTGGGCTTGGTGTTGAGCAGGACCAGCTTGACCAGCAATTTCGAAGTATATTCCGTAGCTAGAATTGGGGTCAATACCGCACATCTTCCATGAACAAGTATTGCCAATACCGCATTCTGTTTCTCCAACAGAAGTCGATTTCTTGTTCAATGAAACCGCGTGACCGATCAAACCAGTTACTTTCAATTCTTTGGTAGTCAAAACTTCTAAAGAAGCATTGAAACCCATCAGCAGGTTATCATCACCATCTTTCTCGAATACACGGACGAATGATTGTTTGAACATAGACGATGTGAAACTATCTGTCAAGATCATATGACCACCAGTCGAGTTTGAGAGGCCCTTCATTTCAAGGAGACCGACTTGATCTAGACATCCAGCAAATATGTCTATTATGTGACCATTATGTGCTGTTCTCTTGGCCAGGTTGTCATAGAACTGTATTCGTTAAAACTGACCATGGAAATTAATCGAGAAACATACCTTGAGAGCCTTCTTATAATACTTGATATTATCTCTGTCGATATCATGATGAGATCTAATTGGCTCCCTCAGTTCAGGACCAACCACTAAACCTGGACCTTCGGTAGCAGGTCCTCCTGCGAATAGCATAATACGGCCACCAGCATTCTGGAACGAATTCTCTAACAGTCCAACTGCTACGCTCAAAGCCACACCGGTACATCTTAGGTTTCTTCTGTCATTTGCGACGGGCCATGGATCCTTTTGTAGTTGCTCGAGAGCTTTGGTGAGCTGGAATTCGCATTGTTGGACAGGTAGCAGGAATCGAGCGGCGGGTCCCATTGGCGGCATTGGTTTACCAGGTTGCGGCTGTTGCATTCCAGGCCTCAATCCAGCCGCCGAAAGTCCAAGCATCTCCTGAATTTGCTTGGCAGTGTAGTCCTTGCTACCTCTAAACACATATGATTTTGGACATTCTGTGTAACCAATTTCGTGTACTTGCGCCTAAATTCAGAGGGTTAGTATAGAGCTGCAAAGTTGGGGATGCGAAAATATTCATACCATGGTTCCAAATGTAACTAAGCCAACCAATGCGTTTTCTGGCAGAAGACTCAAGCTCATCACAAGAGATTCCTTGAGCGCAGATAGACTATCCTCCTCTTGACAAGTGTCCACGACATATAGGAAAATGGGAGGACTTGGAGCTGGCCGTGAAAGTCTGTACTCTATCGTGGTATTTGCAGGATGAAGTTCGGGAGGAATTTGGTTGGGATTTATATCTTTATAATGAGGTGGGAGAGGATTTCGAGATAAGCAGAATGGGCAGATCCAAAGACGTGCTCTGACATCCACTTGACTATTGACAATGAGCTCAATTCGGAATTGTACTTCCAGTGTAAGACTTACCAGAAGGGGTTCAACACTGATCTACATGGCTGCTTGCAGATAACTGGCTCAAATTGTAAGAGTGGTGTATCCGGCTTCTCTTTAAGAGGTGTATAGAGTGCGCCGATGGGGACAACAAGCCTCGAGGCTTCCTATAATATATAAGCTCTTGTACCCCGCGGAGTAGAATCTGTTTGACGAACCATGCGAGAGCTTGGGAAAACATTCCAACTAAGTCGAACTCCATCACGATCCTCCACTTCACTCCATTGCTCCTTCAAAGCTTCAATATCCATCGTGCGCAACCCTTGAAGCTGGATATTATGTATTTGATAATCGACTGGTAGGAATGTGGGACGAACGAGAGCGGTCTGGGACAAAGTGGCAAATACCCAGATGCTGTGCGATCCCCAATCAGTAGAAAATCAGGAAGTGAAACGAATCAAAAGATTCTACTTTTGTTGCAGGAGAATGTGTTTTTGAGGTTTTGTTGTAAGTATCGAGGCCTCGTGGGAGATAATGCCAGGTAGTTGTTGACTTACCTAATCACGGTCCTTTCACAGGAAATAGCCGAATGACAGGTAGCCTCGCCGGGAATGTATCAGACAAATATCATCCATCACTGACAGTAGAAACTCCTATGAGATGATATTGCACATACATACATTCTTACCCCAAATTTGATGATCCTAGAATCAAATGATTTTGGGAAGATATAAATTTCCTTATGGATAACATTTTGGGTCACAGCTTGGTTCTGAAGAGCAAAGTATAACATTTCATTTCTATTCTCATGCTTGAAGAAAATTGGGCAGCCAGGAAGGAGCGTGCCAAAAATAATGTTCATCATCCTAGGTATGTACCATCAAAGAGGTAGATGTTGTTATTTAAGACAAAAATGCAAGTCACTGCACTCTTACCTAGGCATCGATCCATTTAGGCCTTATGATTATGGTAAAGATTCATATTTGTGTGAGCAACGAGCGTGCATTACATAAATTCATAGGTAGGTTACAGCAAACCGATGCAGTTTAATTCAATACATATCGCTAAGACAGCTGGAGAATTCGGATGTAATTCGGGTATTATCTCAGTTACAGTATTAACTTTTGTAGATGATTCTAGGTAAACAAATCTCTGAAAATTAATACAAATATCTGGCCTCCACATCCTTCAAGCTTTAGATCAAATTCAACGTTACATGTTCAATTCTATAAAGCCAGATGCACCTCTGCCGAGCCACACATTAATCCTTCTTTCCGCCAATTGGGAGACCTTCTGTGAGACCTTCAAAACCTGAGAAGCCTGGGAGACCTTTCGAAGAACCTTCGAGACCTTCGAGACCTTCCGAGAAACCTTCTGAAAGATCTGAGAACTCTGAGAAATCCGGCAAATCGAAACGCTTCTCAAGATCTTCACGTTTCTCATTATCCAATCCAGATTCAAGAGATTTTCGGGCCTTAGATTTGCTGGCAAGTTCCTTCTTTACAATCTCGAACTGCGCATCTACTTCACTCCCGAGCGCCTTGATCTTCGGTTGGTGGGGAGATGTGACCTTTTTCTGGCAAGTATTGTATAAACCGTCTACATTCTTTTGCAGTTTCTTAATTTCCGACGCAAAGTAAGTTGCATATCGGGTATTTTGAATCATGCTTTTCTATTCAAATTTGTCAGTACTGCATTCTAGTAATCATCTCAATCCACTGTCCGACAGAGCTGTCGTAGTGAAAAAAAGAGAGTATATGACAAAAGTGTTCAAGAGAAACTTACACGTTCTTTAAGAGCTTTTGAGATTTCTAAGAATTCGGGAGTGAGGTGTTCCAAAGCAGCTTCAACATTCGCGCTTTCATCCTCACTCATAGGTCCCGATTGGCTCGCAGCCTTTTCGGCCGACTGAACTGAACTGTAACAAGTCTTAAATTGCCTATAGAGTTTGATGGATTCGAAGACTCCGCCCTTGTAGTTTTGGCACATCTCTGTGACTTTGTGACCCTCGTCAACAACATTTTTGATCTTTTGACTGACATATTGAGTTCTAGATTCAAGGGGGACAGAGACATCACGCTGGTTGATTGAGATGGCATTTGGGCTTGGGGTAGGACTCGCAAGTGCAAGAGGTGCCAATAGCAGAGTGGAAATGTATGAAAAACGCATCTCGTTTGTTATGGGCGGAGTTATAGATGGAGAATTGGAGTGTGATGGAAAAGTGACCAAGAAGAGTTCTTACAGGAGAATCAGTCATGGATATAAATACCTACAGAAACAGCCAAGCCGCTTAGCTGGGCATGACATATACGATAAATTTAACCATGATCGAGTATCCAGATATCATACGGGTACATCTTCCAAGGGCAGTGGCAGCCGCTGGTACACGTTTTCATACGCATCTAGATTACAATGGCTCGAGAAGCTAACGATCTAGCTTTCCGAGAACCGGATAGAAGGAGCGACTCTACCTCATCGAATAAGAATTGCGCAAAGTTGAAGTTTATTAGAGAGAGATATCAAAGTAGGTAACGTTAGTTTTATCCAAATCTTGTTGATATTCTTCATGTTGATGTCCAAGTATCTATGTAAACAAAGTCCCCACATGCCAAGAGATGCAACCGCACTATCACTCGAAATCAATCGATGACCTACTAGGTAGGCTGCTGCAAACTCAAAACGTACCGATCCTGCCGGTAGTCACTATTAGGGCATCTTTAGGATGGAACCATTTTCAAGAACAGGCACCAAGATCATCTCAAGTCCTATATTGATCGACAATTGGCATTATAGCTGACAACTAAATTCCTCACAGAAGAATGATGCGTCATACAGTTTTGGATCTACCAAAAGATATGTGGGTAACAGTTTTCCCTCACTCATCTGTTGCCATGCATCTCAAAATGCAACATTGGCATTGAAGACATGAATAACTGAAATTAATTTCCCATAGCGCCCACGAAATTCACAAATACCTTCTGACCCTCTTCGATGATCATCGCTGGGTCTTGGAATTGTTTCACGCCTGCAAAGTTTGGAGCTTGGGCATTCACCGGTAGAATCTGGGTGATGTTTGATACCGATGGGGTTGCATTTGGATCATAGGTCTCAAATGAAGGGGAAGCCAACGTTCCAGTGCCTCGAGGCAAAGATGCTGTTCCTGTAGAAGATGCAACATTGACACCATTGATGGTCATCCGTTGATCTTGCTGAACCATAACAAATTGTGTATCCTGGGCTTGGTTATCTGCTTGGATTTGATGTGTCATATAGCGAACGTTTTTGTTTGATCTATCCCGAGCATCGACAATTTGTGTGACAACAATGATGATAATGTTCTGGGAGTCATATTAATTTCTGTACTTTTGGGTTCCGCTTGAAAAGAAGAAAATACCTGCTGCGAGTTCAAATTCTTGAAGTGATTTCTCCTAATGTTATCTCTAGCGATTTGTGTTCGATCGATGATGATGAGTCGCTCTTGAACAAGCTTGGTAAGTTGAATCTCGCGGTTTCGTGAGATTTCCGTTAACTGCTCTTCTTCTGTCTTTGTGATAATGATCACATTGTTTGAATTCGCCTTCGATTGCTGTCTTGAGTCCCTAGGAGCATAGACCAAGCCTCTTGCAATATTCTTATCAGTCTCCGGGACTGGGTGAGGATATGGGCCTGAGTTATGTTATTAAACGGGAACCATGCCATCAGCGTATTCAAAAGTCTCTAGTGTTGATCAAAAAATTGGACATCGTTTTATTCCTGAATTCAATCAAAACATTCATCTCCTCCAGAATGTTTAGACCGCTTCGAATGTCCACCTTATTTTAGACATTGATCTTCTTGCAGATATTGACTCGTTTCCAAACATTGACAAGCCAAATATGATCATCTAGTCCGGAGCACTGAATAATCTGGATGAAGTATAGACTGGTACTCACTTGCGATGATTAAGGTAGCCAGGCTCAAGATCAATGATGCCACCAGAGTGAAACGCATGATTTATATTATTAGGAAAGAATGTAATTAAAGATTGATATTACTTAAAAGGTAAGGCAGCCGCTGGGGCGCTCGACGAAAGAATAATAAAGTATGTGGTAAGAGAATGAGTACTGGTGAATGAGTGACAAAGTTTACGATATGTGCAGGACTTGCTGTCATGATGGGAGAGCCAGCTACTATTATACTACAATTCTCCCCTTCGTGATAAACCGCATTCAGAGCGGAATAGCATATACCCATCACGTTGTCAGACTGAATCGGTTACATTGAGGCTTATTGCACTCCTTGGAACACCAGACTCCTCTGGTAATCTTGATGTGATTAAAAATGCCTTGGCCAAATTTTATGATACTCATTGAACGGATGTGGATACATCCGGAAGGCTCCCAGTAAGTGAAGACAGAGCCAAGAGCATTTGACAGCTAAAACCACATACTGACACCATGTTAAAAACATGAGATGATAGAAGCGTTCATCGAAAGAATTTTTTGGGACATGATTGGATCAATCAACGAAAATCCTGAGAGTATTGACTTCCTGATGTAGTCAAATTAACATGGGATGCTTGGACCCCCCAGTCGTTGTGAGATCAGACAAAACGAAGCTTGTTTGATCACAGTATAATTGTGAGATATTGTCTTATAAGCATAAAAAGTGCTATGCATAATACGATATGATAAGGAATTAAGTTTGGGATTGTGAGGGTATATTCCAAATAGACTAGATGAAGATCAAATGCGCGGTCAGCACGTCATTTAGAAATGTACGGGCACATCTCATGATCGTAACATATTGCACCGGCCAGTGGAATGCCAAAGATAGAGAACACTTGTTCGGTCATGATCTTACAACAACGTATTAAGAGGACTATGCACCAGGAAATATCCAGCTGTATTCGCGAATGATGGCTGTTGGAATCTCCCTGATAATGCGATGAAGTATCCCCGAATTCAGGAATGCCACGGATCGTATTTCTTCAACTGTGAAGATAAACGATTGCGTCGCAACTTTACTTGACGAGTAATAAAGAGAGGCATACACGGAGAGAAATATGTAGACTCTCGAGAATCTTGTCAGTCCAAAATAACTCGCCTTGTGAAGGGAATCCCACCTAGCTTTTTCTTTCTAATTCTTCAACTCACTGTAGTCTCACTTCCTTTCAAATGTAGCAAATCTTGCTTATAAAAAAATCTAAACTCCCTGGCAGCTTTCATCGATGAGAGAGAAAAGGATGAATGCTGGCGATAGCTGCAGAAAATTCATCCAAAAAGTTACTGGCAAGGTGCGAAAGGTTCCCGGTGAGCCTCTTTGTGAAAAGCATAATGTTCCAACTCGAACACAATACAAGTCATAACAGGATGGTAAAAACACAGATGTATTCCCAAAAGTCATCCAAAACCAACCTGACACAGGTATAACATACATTACCAGCCGTTGATGATAATTTTTTATCCATTTCCCTTATCGACAAAAGGGTTTGCCTCCTCCAATAACATGCTAACGATAGTCCTAAAATGCTCTCGTGCATCAAGCCTAGCATACACACGTGATAAGTTGCAGGAGCTTTGACCTTTTCGCCTAAAAAAAAATCCCAAAATTTCACCTCCAGAATTTTTATTGCATCCAATTGACCCGTCGCCCAAGAATCTCGAATCGTCCGACAAGTATTTTTTCGGCCTCAATTACACTTTTTTCTGCACTTTCAATTCCTAAACTTTAAAGCAGAAATGGCATACACACCAAGAGGAGGTGCTCGTGGCGGCGACCGTGGAGGACGTGGAGGTTTCGGCGGGGGAAGAGGTGGTGATCGTGGTGGTCGCGGAGGCTTTGGAGGAAGAGGTGGTGGAAGAGGTTCGTATTTTTATATTTCCAATGCGATTTGAATCTTAATGGCTCAATGCGCATGCGCCAATGTTTTGATTGAATCCCGCTGACTTTGTAAAAAGGTGGTGGAGACCGTGGAGGACGTGGAGGCGGACGTGGTGGTGGAAGAGGAGCTCCTCGTGGAGGACGTGGTGCTCCAAGAGGTCGTGGAGGTGCTGGTGCCAGAGGAGGTGCTAAGACCATTGTCGTAAGTATTTGCAGTTGAATTGGACTTCAATTGAGTTCTAACAATTTTTTCAGGAGCCCCATCGTCATGAAGGAATTTTCGTCGCTCGTGGCAAGGAAGATATGTTGGTCACCAAGAACCTTAGCCCAGGTGAATCTGTATACGGCGAGAAGCGCATCAGTGTCGAGGGCGCCGGCCCAGCCAACGAAGATGGCACTCCAAGCACCACCAAGACCGAATACCGTGTCTGGAATCCTTTCAGAAGTAAGATTGCAGCAGGTGTTCTCGGTGGTATGGATGAGATTTTCATCAAGCCCGGTGCTAAGGTTCTTTACCTTGGTTCCGCTTCTGGAACTTCAGTTTCCCACGTTGCCGATATCGTTGGACCCACAGGAACTGTTTTCGCCGTCGAATTCTCCCACAGATCTGGCCGTGATCTTATCAACATGGCTACCCACCGCACAAACGTCATCCCAATTATTGAGGACGCTCGTCACCCACTTAAGTACAGAATGTTGGTCTCTATGGTCGATGTTATCTTCGCCGATGTTGCACAACCTGATCAAGCCCGTATTGTTGGATTGAACGCACATTTGTTCTTGAAGGTTGGTGGTGGTATTTTGGTTTCCATCAAGGCATCTTGTATCGACTCCACAGCCGCACCAGAAGCTGTTTTCGCTAGAGAAGTCCAAAAATTGAGAGAGGAGAGAATTAAGCCTTTGGAGCAATTGACTCTGGGTAAGCTTTTCCCCATGTCAACCCACTTGTTTTTCCACAACTAACCATGATCTACTACAGAACCTTTCGAGAGAGATCATTGTATGGTTTCTGGACGTTACGTCCGATCCTTGTAAACCTCATCTATTTCCTCATCTATTTACCACCATACTACCCGCGCATCAAGTCGCTCTTCAGCATAAACTCAATTGAAGTTTATTTCTTCGAAGAAATTCGAATGACTCTGAACACACGCTTCTTTGGCATGCTTCATCACAAATTACTACGGATTCTCTCTTGTTAGGTTATGGAAGGTTGTCGTTTTTCTCGTTTTAGTACTTTTTTCTATTAGGTGTACATTCAGGTCCTGGCGTACAGGTCTTCATTATTCATCGCATTACTCAGTAGCTTGTTAGAGAATGAGAATAAGAGGAGAAAATAAGAAAGTAAAAATTGTCCAAGAATTATAGTCTAGTTTATGAGTTCAACTGATGTCATGTTTGAATCTATAATGTGGTATCATATTTCTTCTAATTCTATTTTGTTCGCTAGATCAGAATGGAATGGCAATTGGGTATAAATTTCCATCCTTAAAATCAATGGTCTTACGCCTCCTTGTTGCTCACTTCATATCCACGCGCTGGCTCGCACTCTCTTCAAGTTATCATATTCCCTATACCAGTAGTACCCGCAGTATTCGGATTCAGTCGTTGGCCAGGATTTTAAAGGATTGCGGTCATTGTGCCCATTCTTGCTAAACCCAGCGCTGAAGCTTCAATGCCTAGGATTTCCTGTCTCTTCGATGCCAAGGTACTTGATACTAGACTGGTATTCTCAAGCGCGAAGTCTTCCAATCTAGGTGTCTTTCGGGTCTTTGGTCTGACAAAAACCAGGAAAACACTCGAAATTAAGATTGAAAGTCTTCCTACCCTCCAACTCCCACACTCAATTTTTCATTTACCGATCCTCCCCACGCCCACCACACACCAATAAGCCAGCTCCCTTTTTTCCCTCCCATCCCTATCCACCAATCCCCCCAATTTCCCAGCCCCATCTCCATCACCAGCCGCATCCGCCTCCCATTCCACTCTTACGAAAACCGCGATTTCGCACACGTCGGCGTCTTCTTCCACTCTTTCCTTTTGCACTTCTTCTTCCAATCTCCTCTGTTGCTCTAGTCCAGGCAATTTCGCCTTAAGTTTCCCGGGTGTGACTTCGACGACTACGCTTGTCCAATTGCGACCTTTGTCCCAGGGTTTTCCGTGCGCTTCGTTGCTGAGATCAATGCTCGCCATGCTGCCATGGGTAGCGGTCGAATGTTTCCGATCGTGGGCGGAAGACGAGGAATCCTGGAGGGCTTCGTCCCACATATCTGTGTTGGCGCCGACTTCAAATTGGGGACAAAGAAGGATGACTTTGGAGGCGTGCCGGTCGGTCGTGAGACCTTTTGTTGCGAGAGATATTTTGACGGGTTCGAACAGGGGGTTTTTGAAAGTTAGGAGGAATTGAGTTGGCTTGAGGGGGGTGAGGGTTATTTGAGCGGGAGTCGGACTGGGGGCGGGTTGAAGGGGGGAGAGGCTGATGGATGGTATGTAGGAGAGAGCGACGAGGCGAATGCGGAAGCGTGTGGTTGGGACCTTGGATTCAGGTTTGGACAGAATATGACGACAGGTACGGCAACGTTTGGAACGTTTGGTGCGGAGGAGGCAAGGAATTGGGCGAAGAGAGTCGAGGAATCGGGTCGAAGGTGATGTCTGATTTGTTCTTTGCTCGGTCGCAATTGTACCTTCCCAGCCGTCTTTGAGAAGTTGTGAGACGGCCACAGACTCAGCTTCAGGATCGTAGACTTGGAGTCCTTCGGTTGAATCACACGCTTCTCGCATACTTGCAGTTTTAGATTTCGCTTTTCGGTCGCCAAAACTTCCACCTGTGTAAAGGCCCATTATTCTAGTTAATGCTCCGGGGGATCCATATCCATAATCATTTGAAAATCCTAGCGCACTGCTTGGATTTGAATCTGCCAATTGGCCCTGATAAAATGATTTTAGGTTCGCATATTGACTTTCTGTATCGAGTCTCTCGTTTGGGTCTACATGTTTTTCTATGACCTCATCCGCCTCTTCCAGGATCGTTTCTGTAGCCAAAGATGACCGCCTTTCATCTCTATCTCGACGGCGTTCTTTTGCACTTATCAGTGGATCACCACCATTTTTTATCTTGGACAACTGTGAATATACGGAGTTCGGCTTCTCAAATCGTATGCCAATTTCGGTCGAACTCCACATACAGTAGGCGCAGTGAAGAATATAGGGTGCTGTCGGAGATGGCGAAACATTGGGTACTTCTGGAATTGGCGCCTCATTGACTGAGAGAGGCGATATACATATTGGGCATTGGAAACAAGATCGTGTGCATCTAAGTGATTGGTAGTAGCACATTAGGATCTAGACCTTTCTCTCAGGGAGTTGACACCGAAACAATAAATCGTAAGGCCATGTTTACTAACCTGTTACCTTCACTCTTCACTGTACTACTCGGTACCTCAAATAAACAGCTCGGGCAATACCAAGTGACTATCTCGTCTAATACACATCTCGAGCATCGAATTTGGTGACAATCCTCACAATATAGAAGATGTTCCAGTGGATATAAGCTATAGTTCGCGCGTGGAGCTCTTGGATCAAACGTGCGTTCTTCTTCGTGAGTTGGGGAATCCGGAGGTGTAGAAGAATTTGCAGGAATGGATGTATCAGAACAAGGACATTGAAAATAAGTATACGGCTTAAACGTCGACATGATGGAGTCTCAGTATTGGGATTTCCCAGTATCAATAGGTGGGATTTTTGGAGAGGGGATGAATAATATTTGACAGGGGTACGCGGAATAATAGTTAGTCCGAATAAAGCTTATTTTCGAGCTAAGAACCAATCAAGGAAAGCTTCGAGGTACACCAGCAAGACTTCCTGGTAATACTTCGAGACGACCAACTTTCTGTACGTTGAGCAACAATCGTACTATAATAATAAACCTCATACTCAAGCATCCTCGTTGAATGAAACGGGTTCTCTCATAATTCATTGCCGCCATCCATTACCATTGTTTATTTGACTAGGAGGGACTTGAATCTACCTAATATCCACAAAAATGTTGTTGCTATCACACTTTATCACACTCACTCTCACGTGATTGTGAAACTTTCTGTTGTCCGTACCTGCTTTTAGCGTTCGTAATACATACCCAGTATCTAATAATAATCTTCTTCAAGCGGGCGGCTGCTCTAGGCTCCATCTCCATTTTTGGTGGGCATGAATGGATGTTGATCCATCCTTTCCTTTCCTTTCCTTTCCTGCCATTCCAATTTGTTGGTTTGTATCGAATCATCCGAGTTATCTCCTTATCTAGAGCAGAGTTTACCCAGAACCTAATGCCTTGATGTGATGAACCCAGGTTGGGCGACGAAGAAAAAGCAAACTTCTCAAACGACACCTGCTGGGGATTCTTCTTGATTTTATTCAGCTTGTGTATCGAAATGCATGAATCCCACCTCAACTGCCCATCCCACGGACGATAATAAAGGACAATAAAGGACAATAAAGGTTACCATGTCCTTGCACCGCCACTAATAAGGTTCTCGTCAACAAATCAAGCTCCAGCCATACATACAGTTCAAGATCCAAAGCGAAATAAACAACAATAACACACAACCGTGCGGGACAATACAACTAATGATAAACAAACTTTGGTCCCATAATGCAAACAATATCATTGTGAGATTAGGACAGAGAATCATTCGTTTTTGATATTACCACTGTTCTCAACCTCAGACAGATTCTTGAATCTACGTTAATTGGCAATTGGCAATTGGCAATTGACAATTGACAATTGACATCGAGTAGCGATATTTCATCTTCGTCTCATCTCATCACTCGGGTTGCCCTATCAACTGACAGCACATTTCAGCGCCCAATTGCCTGGGGGAAGTTCTCACAAAGTCACATTCTGCCATTCCTCGTGGGTCAATGAACATTGGCGCAAATCAATAATTTTACAACGGCCTTCATGTACGTCAACACAAGAACCTGCTTCGATGGTTTGCTACAATATACGACTACCATTTGAGTCGCCGCATGTTAGAGTTGGGAATTGGTCTTAATCAAGGTACGCATCTAGCGTTTTTTTCAAAGTTGAATATTGTTTCCAAACCCAGCTTTGCGCAAAATATTATGTTATCTATGCTCCGAAGAGCCACTGACGCTATGGAACTTGTTAGACCATGCCTTCCCCCGAACCCGAAAAAGATGAGACAGCCCCGGCCCAACCCAAGTCTCCAACTGCCCCGCAGAAGACATCACCCGCCAGGAGCACCCCCAATGGTACAGCTATACGAAAACCGGGTGTCAAGCCGCGGACTCCTGCCAATGCGCCCATACACAAGCGACCACCATCCAAGAAATCGGAGCCGACATTGCTTACTGATTTTCTGCTGGGCAGACCATCAGCAAGTCGCCAAAGACGAAAAAGTCTTGACGCAGTCAAGGCGGAGATGCGGGAAAGCACTGTGAATAGGATTCAAAAGCCAGGAGGAGTACACGATCGGGTTAAGCAATGGCAAAAAGCTAGTGCAGCAGCTGCCATTGAAGAAGCTGATGATCCAGAGTCGGAACTGGATGAGATAATAGTGGAGGTGGAGGAAGAGAGTGTGGTTGGGCCCAGTGTTGTCACCGAGGATAACAGGCTTCATGTCAGAAATCAAAACACTCGACCTGGACGGCGGAAAAATAGAGACCCTGAAGATTGGGCCGCAGAAGTAAGGAGCAAAAGTGCGCCCCGAAAAAGAGTTATAAGCGATGATCATTGGGTGATGAATAAGACCAAGACCTCTCCAAAGAAAAAGGATATCAAAGTCACAATGCGAGCTATACCTAAAGACTTTCTTCAACAGACGGCTGCTAATCCCAAGTTGGAAAGCAAAATCGCTGATTGGGTCAAGCGTACGGAGGCTGAGTCGGGGAAGCATGGAGCGGCCCAATCTACTTCACGAGCGGGCAAGAACCCACAGCAAAACCCCCGTGGGGAAAATAAGGGCAAAATGAGGGCCAAGTCTTTAGGAGAAATTATAGTTGAAATAGAGGAGGAGGAGGAGGAAGAACCGACCCGGAAACCCTCAAAGAACAGAATGAAAGTCGAGTCAAGGAGTACCCCAAGCTCGCGAAAGAATTCGAACAATGGATCCAAGGAAAGCCTTGTTAGTTCGTCGAAAGGAAAACACACCCCTAAATCGGAACCATCTCGAACTCCAGCGAATGATGGCATTCGAGTCAAGGCATGTGGACCGAATGGTCGGTGGGAAGATGGCATTAGAGTAAAGCCTGTTCAAGCGAGATGGAGGGCTCCCGAGGCTAAGAAACAGAGTTCCGGAGGCAACCCTTTTCTCGATGGTATCAGCCTGAAACCTACACCTGTTCATAAGGACGGCAAGCAAACCCCTATGAAACCAGAGATCTCAGATGAGCATTCTCATAAGCGTAAATCATCAGAGAAGCATATCAAGCCACTGAAGGAGACTGAAAGGAAAGATATGAACGGTCACTCCGATGGCGACTTTGACGACACAAATGCAGAAACTCCCACTCGTCGTTCTCCAAGCTCCCGGAAACAAAGAAGGAAATCCCGTTCACCATCTCCATCGGTTGATGGGATTCCCTTTGGCGACTCTGCTTTCAGTACCTTGGATTTGCCTATTGGTGCCGAGGCGGGGAACACTGGAAATAAACCTAAGCCCCAAAGGAATCCTAGTCACCTAGTGCCCAAAGTTCTCAAGCGCGTCTACAATGAAGGGAAAAAGATTATGCATGATACGCATGATGCCCCTGAAATGCCTCCTAGAGGTGGTGTAAATCGGCCTCCAACAATTGAGTCTTGGCTCAATAGTACCCCAGATCCTTTCCTTGATGTACCAAGTCCTGTTTCGACTCCAGCATTAACAGAAGTATCTACAGAGATAGATGGTAGTGAGAGACATACTCCCACGCCTGACCAAGACCAGAAACAAGCACTTGAAGAAGAGCGCAGAGGAACCGGGAGTAGACAGAAGCGCGTTCGGAAAACTTCAGATACCAGCTTCAGAGGCCACAACGACAAATCTCCTCTGGGACGTGTTCTGGATGATCCAATCGAGTTCAAGAAGCCCCCAACTCCACCTGCAGCTGGTCTTAGACGCAGTCCAGCTTTACGTACTGCTTCTCCTCCCGTGATCAAGGCAGCTAAGAAATCGCCTTTCAAAGATGCTTTACTAGATGCTTTCCGAGGCGAGTCTACATTTGAGGGTATCCTAGACGCAGAAGATGATGAATACCACGAGAAAGAAAACCATGATGTAGACGATCTCAAGAATTCTGGTCGTAGTTTACAAACACCTGAAAATACCAATTCTCAGCGTAGTCGCTCTTCTGGTACTCACCTTCAAGTGCCAGACGGACACCGAGACATTTCCGACAGACCGAGGCGGAAGAGAAGAGGTGGAAGCTCTGGCAACCATCATTTATCAAAAATTGCATCTGTGGAAACTTTTAGCACTCTTTCGTCCGTAGACACTTCATCTAACCTCACTAAAACTACTCTCACTCAAGCCACTACCGAGACCGGGCGGACTGATTCCAACGTCTCACGCAGGAGAAGCAATAGATCGGGACTTAAAAGACGACTTACAAAGCACTCTGACTTGGTGTCTATGTTGTCATTACCCGATGCCCCACCAGCTGGTCGTACAAAAAGTATTAGATCGGCTCGAAGTGTGCGTACGGCTCGAAGCAGCCTAGAGACTGCTACTGAGATGGATCTGATGCGTGAATTAGCGGGCGACGAAGCTAAGTACATGAGAGAATTGAAAACTCTGGTTGATGGCGTGATACCAGTTCTCTTAACTTGCGTTCTGTCTAAATCAGACTCTGCAATTGCCGCTGGCCTCTTCAATCCCGACTCTACAGACATGAACGAAACATTTCTTACCAAGCCAATTGTCGATATGGGTGTTGCTCTCGAGCGTTTAAAGAGTCTACATAGACGCATACCACTCCAAGATCCAGACGCCCTCATAGTCTGGCTCCAGCGAGCCCATCGAACTTACCAAGACTACACTCGTGCGTGGAGATTAGGCTTTCAGGATGTTGTTGTCAATTTAGCACCAGCTTCGCGCAAATCGTCTGCTGAAGAGAAAGAATCACCTCTTGACAGTGTCCCGCGCAATGCTGATGGAGATATTGTGAACTCAAATGGAGAACGTGTTGATGTCGCTTTTTTGCTCAAGAGGCCACTTGTCAGGATAAAATATCTTGCAAAAACTAACAAAGGTGCGTATTTTAGTCTTCTTATCACCTCTATTCAACAAATTATCCATTGGCTAGGTTCTAACTTATCATAGGGTCTTGATAAACTCAACCATTCTGAACTCTCAGGTAAAGCGTTGAAAATATTTGAGGATTTGCAAGAAACGGCTCGTCGTCGTGTTAAAGAAGAACACGCTAGACTCGAAGATCTATATGCAAACAATACTGATGCGACTCGAGCCCGCAATCCGCAGACGCTTGCTCCAGTTGAAGATGCTCACATTGACCGTACTAGACAAGTCTCGGCTAAAGATTTCTTTGATCTCGACTTTCCTCATTCTAACGGCCAACGAATTGAGTGTCGTGTAGAATTGATACTCCGGGATAATCTTTCAGACGAAATTGACCCTGGAGATGTTCTGATCTGTGCATCAGAAATCACACCAGAAGCCACGCATCGTTACTTGCTATTTCCACCAATCGATAGAGATTTCATATCCGCTTGCGCTGGTGAGAAGCCTGATGAGCTAATAATCATGATCCGTGGGATACAAAAACCTATAGAATGGCGAGAGAGTTTACTTCTGAAAGGTGCTGAGCCTGAGACTGCTGCCGAGTGGATAGAAATGTTAGGGTCTATCCCAATGCCTCAACCAGTCTTGAGCTCGATACCAGACAACGCAGATACAGTATCAATGATGTCTATGGATCCGTCAGAAATAAGCGAGGCCGGCGATCCTGATGATAACGAGCTGCCAATTGGTGCTCGTCGAAGAAGAAGAAAGCACCATTCAAAAGAAAGACCGCGATCTTCAACCTTCTCTACTATGTCATCTGTAGAAATTCCAGCCCCCCTAAAGATAGACCGAAAAGAAACATCATCCCCGCCACGGAGACATCGAGATGTTTCTCATGATGAAATTACTGGTCAACCATCTAGAAGACATTCTAAATCTTCAAGGTACCATTCTCACACTCGTACTCGATCTACGCCAAGTTCACCTCTGTCAAGCCAACTTGTTCTTAACGATTCGGATGAAGAAAGCAGAGATAATGATGATTTTGAGGAATCTGAGAGTCGTGCATCTACACCAGGCAGAACATCTCGCCGACCCCTCACACCCTCTGAAGAATTACCTCAATACCTAAAGTTCGCAAAACAAGCTCTGCTGCCTCAATCGATAGCGAATCCACTACAAAAGATTGCATTCGCCGTACCTCGTATGATCCAGTAGATCCAGATGATACGTCTGAACGGTCTCGTAGCCCTGATTTTGCAGAGGAAGAGAGTGCTCCACCACCACCGCCAGCTCATCGTTCAATGTCTCCTAGTGGTCTCAAACAACCAATAATCATTGAGCCTCCAGCGCCAAGATCAAGGTCTCGACGTACTTCCTCTCCACTGAAACATGAATACCGACCTTCTGATATATCTGATATATCGGAGAGATCAGAGAGATCTGAGGTTTCTGTTTCCGAGGTTTCTGAAATGTCATGTTCATCATCTGAAGAATCCGACACGGAACAAGAAGAGTCATCATCTAGTTCGGATGAAGATGAACTAGATGAGCTCGACGAACTTGAAGCTGCTGATCTTCCCGAAGCTGAACCTGCTCCAACCATATATGGCAGACGTGCCATTTCACCTACAACCTCTCTGTACAGTCTGCCTAATGTTACTTTGCCACCTGTGAATTCTACGCCTCGAATTCCAATCGTACCAAAGGTCGACAATTCAGATATTAGAAGGCACGTTGCTACTGTTACAACCTGGAACAATGCCAAGGGTCGTTGGGACGATGTTCATTCGAAATCTTGTTCCATTATCATTCGTCCAGGATTAATCGAAGTACATGAAATGTCCTCCAGGCATTCCTCCCCTGCAGTTCTTTCAACCATTCAAGAGTCCGTTGTAGGAGGTCCAGAAGATACAAGCTCGAACGAGGACAAGCGACCATTACTTGGTCAGGTACTCACACCTGTTGTGACACTCAGGCAAAGTAATTCACTCGATATTGAAATCCATTCTCCCCCAACAAGTGATTCTCGAGTCAAATGCAGCCCTACCATCCGATATCACAGTCTACACAACCGTGCATGCGTTGATCTGTACAACTCAATTCATCAGGCTCGCATGAACAACCCAACATATAAGAAGCTAGAAGAAGAACGACTACTCAATTCCTATGGTGGTGCAACTTACGAAACTGCGGTTGCCAGTAAAAAACGAAGCTTCTTGAGCTTTGGACGAAAGAAGAGCTATCGTGCATCAACACGCGCACCATCCGTTGTCAACTCTGAGCAAAGTAGCTCTCCGTCTATTTCTCGTCTTTCCGAATCCTTTAAAAGATTAACAGGAAGTTCCTTTTTTAATATTGCAAAGTCTTCCATCGAATCAGGACGTGGATCTAGTCCATCAAGTCTGTACACTAGTTCCTCCGGTCTTGCTCCACCTCAAACACCCCATCCTGCAAGTTTGGCAGGTACTTCGACATCATATGGTGGTGTGAATCTTACCTCTGAGAATATCAAAATCCGCCTGTATTACCTAGAAACAAGATCCAAGTGGCGGGATTGCGGGAATGCAAGATTAACTGTTACAGCACCACCACCTGGTATGCGTCAAGCTTGTGCTGTAGACCAGGGTATTGAACGCCGTATTCTCGTTACTAGAAAACCCATGAAAGCTGAGGACCCAGATGAAAAGGTGGAGGTGCTGTTAGACGTTGTGCTAGGTGCTAATTGCTTTAGCATGATCGGCAATAAGGGAGTCACGTGTAATGTATGGGAGGATGTTGTGGGACCTAATGGCGAGGTAGGAATGGTAGGACCTATAGGGAGAGTGAGTGGGAGGACGAGGAAGTGGTGTCTGCAGGCGGGAAGTGTACCTGAGGCAAGCTGGATATATAGTTTGGTTGGCGTGGGGAGATGATGTTCCAAAGGGAGAGGAAGAGAGTGCATTTTGTTTTTGGTTCTTTTCTTTATTGTAAGAGTGGTTAGGAGGGATAATATATCTGTCCGATAATTCTGTATGTATGTATGTATGTATATAGGGGGGTGGACAAACGAAGTTGAGCGAGCGATGCATTAGAGGGGCTACATCCGGCGGTACACATATAAAGGGATGGAAAGGGTATGGATAGGCGGATGGAAGGAAGGATACCACTTGGAAATCGGGTCTCGGCGTTTATTGGATGAGATGAATGGAAATTTTTGGTATATCATTTGTGGTAGGGGGTTCTTGATACCTTTTTGACTTGGACAGATGGGTGGGTGTAATCTTGGAGATGGGAATAGGAGTGCTGAGGCAATCGGAATGTGGACGACGGAATAGGTGATTATAGGGAAATCAAGGCAAGCACACAACACAACACAAACGATGCCCTCATTGAATCGAAAAACGCATATACATTTTATGCGGAAACCCTCATCTCTACTGGAATCTTTGTTGGAATATAACTAAGGCTGTGACCTGGATCCAGAGGGCATACGAGGGTTTTGAGAGATTTCGTTTGGGGAAAAGTATTGTGTTGGGTGGAGAGGAAAAAGGAGGAGGAGGAGTAGATAGAAGTCAAAGGGAGGGGATGAGGTGATGTTTAGAGGTGTATGAATGATAATGGAATGGATTCTTTAATCGACCATTGTGCTTATTACGAAGTGAAATTATTGTGTTTGAATCATAATTTATATGAATTCCTAGAGCGTTCGATGGTCTGGTCTTACTTGATCAATACAATATTGATATATACCTATATACAGTACAATATATGAAAGCGGTATAAATCCTAAAGCGTTAGACTTATAATACTTCAAAGTGAATTTGATATGTGTTTCGAAATTTTAGGGTGCCCGAAAGCATAGCTATCCAATTATCTATCTATCTTCTCGTCGCCCTGTCTTCATACGTGTCCAATATTGAGATCTGAAATGACTTTCACGAAACACCTAGCAACTCAGTTATTGGTTAGTTCAATGCCTAGGTAGGTAGGTAGAGAGAAAAGATGCAGATAAAAGAATAATAAAAGTAGGTATACGACGAGTACAATTAATTTATCACTGTCACTTTCTTTATAACTTCAAAAATCATCTCATATTCCCAGATGGTATGAATAAATGATGTCAGCAAGATCTTTCAAGAAAGACATCCGATCTATTTGAATTGATTGACGATATCAAGACGGAACAAAAGTAAAAGAGATGCGTTCGCCGGGAATCGAACCCGGGGCCCATCGATGTTGTTTCGCGCTCTTCTGATGAAAGAAGAGTTTGATGGCAACGATGGATTTTACCACTAAACCACAAACGCTGATACGTGTTGATTTATGTTGAGGAGACGGCGCTGTTTTAAAATATAAAGTATAAATAATGGGTGGGGTATGTGGAGTCTTGATGACTTTGAAATACTACGGAGTATGGAAATGGTAAGTTGTGGGGCGGTGGATCATCTAGTCTGGTGCGGTTTAGCGATGGGGAACTCGTTATTCTATGTTTCAACTTCAAGAATCTGATCAAGAATAGATAACTATATTAAAATGAAGCCTTAACCTTTAGGTCCTTTTGATTAAATGTAAAATATTCATGAGATTAGTTGATTATTAAAGCTTTTACATTCGATAGATTATTATGTTATATTTCGAACAATATACAGCTATGGCTAGATATCCATCGTTTAGCTTCTAAAGGAGGGCCTTGCTTCAAACCTGTACTACGCCGCAAATAACAACAAGTTCTTTGAAAACCACAAGTCGTTATTAAAACTAAATTGCTTGAACTTGTCTGTATCAGGTCAAACGTAGCAGTCAACGGTGTAGCACTGGTTACAGGGGTAAAATCTGTCAAATCTACAATCATCGATTGATTACTGACACACTTGCTCATAGGGAGCAGCAGGCATCGGCGAAGAGACTGGCTTCGCATTCGCCGAAGCAGGTGCTTCAGGCGTTATCTTTGCCGACCTCAACATTGAGGGGGCCAAAGCGAGCGCAGAAAAGAGTAAAGAATTCGCTACCAACCCTCAACACCGAACCTTGGCCTTGGAGGTAAACACCACCGAGCCAGAGAGTGTTCAGGCAATGGTCGATCTCACAATTAAGGAGTTTGATCGAATTGATTACTTTGTCAATAGTGCTGGAGTAAGTGAAGCAAAAACTATGTTCGTGTGAATATGCTGACCGATATTGAAGGTTGGAGCTACATCTCTCGCACCAACGTCCGATATCGATATTGACAACTTCGATAAAACATTCGCTGTGAATGCTCGTGGAACAATGTTATGCCTTAGAGCTGTGACGAAAGCTATGACCGCACAAGAACCGAGAAAGGTCAAGGGCCGCCATGGGTATGAGCGTTCGCTGGGTCGGGGGTGCATCGTGAATCTTGGCTCTGGATTGTCATATGGTGCAAGTCCGGGAATGATGGCTTACGTTGCATCGAAACACGCAGTGATGGGAATTACTAAAGTAGCTGGTGAGTTCTCATATTGAGCTTCTTGAGTATAGCGACTGATGTCTTTGATAGCGCTGGATAACGCAGAGCACGAAATTCGTGTGAATGCGCTTTGCCCCTCATGGGTGAAGACCCCCATGTTAGAACGAAGTTTGGCTCGTTGGGCGGGACTCGAAAAAGTCATCCAGGCTGTCTCACCAGCAAGAAGAGCCGCAACGCCAGAAGAAGTAGCTAATGTTGCCGTTTTTCTTTGCAGCCCTTCGGCTACCTATGTCAATGGAACTGGCTTGTTGATTGATGCTGGAATGATGGTTACTGCGCACGCAACTTAAGAAATGCTTCGCTGCTGGTAGTAAATTACATACGATATCTGCGTATCAGAGTTAGAATAAGTAATCATGACAATTAGAACGAACTTACCATCAATACGACTGACTACCAGCCCAGACTACTAGTGGGTACACAGACTCTTGGGAAATTCCAAAATCGTAAAGATTGAGAGACATAACCATTCAAAGATATAAACGATTAAGTCAATCTCAAAACACCACTTAATACGAAAGCTAGTTATTCTGAAACTGTTTCTTCTAATGGAACTTTATGAAGACAATATGAATCATAAAGAAAAGCTGTGTTCTCCAAAACTAGTTCCATTCCGAGACAATTAGTCTTAATTTTCAGGGTTAATTTTGATCTTATGCACGAAAGTATATAACTTCTTTTAGAATGAACCAGATATTACAATGAAGATTGTGATATACTCTAACGCATTTCAAACGAACTCTAGTAACTTTAATAACTTCAACTTTCATAGGAATAAACATCAAGGTCTTTACTCCTTCGACACACTTTTAACCCTTTTTCTTTTTCTTTCTCTACAATCGGACGTCACGTATTGCCGGTTAAACCAAACTACCGGGAGGACTGCGCCTCATATGTGGACTTCATAGCGGCCAAGTCTGACATGCATTTACTTCATATTTCATATATAACTAATCTCAACAATACGTCCAGCGTCTTCAAGTCACGTGTCACTCGTACTGTGTCAAACGAGTCCTCGCGTAATGGTTTACGATGGTCATGAGATGCTATAATGAGAAGTTGCAGAGATCGATAAAATTGCAGAGAATAACGACTATGCTCACATCCGCCAGGCACTATCATGAAATGAGATACTTCTCGGATGTGCTTGCCTTCAGCTCCTAGCTCGCACGGCTTCGAGAATGCTATACTCTAGCTCTGTGTCATATTGATAGACTTTTGCGAGCTCAAGCCCTACGTCTCCGAGTAACTCTCGCCAACGTGTTATTGTACGCTCAGTCGAGCCGAGGAAAGCCATCATGGTGAAATCCAGCTGCATTGAGAAGGGAGATGCGCCCGTGTCTGGAATGACTATTTTGTCGATTAAAAGAATAGATTTCGGGGACATAGCGTCTTTAATGTGCTGTAGAACTTGCTTGGCCTCTTTGTCCGGAAAATCCTGGAGACATTGGCGGATGTAATATATATTGGCACCTGTAAAACTTAGGATGGGTATCAAGAGATATTTTGCATTCAGCACGAACCTTGAATTTGTTGCTTTTCATAGAAATCCTGAGCCATCATCTCGATGCCCTTGTATTTGGAGGCTTCAGCTAATGTTCCAGGAAGATCTTGAAGGATCACACGACCAGGGAGAACGTGCTCTGTGGTTACCTTGCGGAAGGCATCGCATTGATAACCATGTCCGCCGCCAATATCAACAAATAGAGGTACATCCGTGTCCGCTTCCCGTAGCTTTTCGACAAGAGGGACAACCGATGTCCATCATACAGGACTTCAATCATTCCACGTTTTCATATTTCCCTCTAACAAATCCCTGCTTTCCACAGTTGTGACCAAGGTCTTTCTTCTCTCATTGGTCTCCCTGGATATCTGACGGCCAATGGCCTGGAATGTCCCACAGACGTTCGAGATGACTTCTTCCAGAAGGCGGTTTCTACCTCTCCTGGATGCATTTTTCCACTGGCAGGTCGAGTCTCCGCCTCGCCATGCCTCACATGACTTCAATTTCTTATGACATGTGTCCGCGGCGAAGATCCGGCAAGGCTCTCTTGGTTTCCTGTGAGAGAGACAATATTAGAGGGAGTGCGCCAGCCGGGTGGTGCTGCATTGATAGATGTGGGTAACGGTAAGGGGCAGGATACAGTTGCATTCAAACACAGAATGAACATGGTGCTTTTTGGAAGTGTAAAAGCGGTGCTAGAGGATCTCCCGAATCCCAACTGTGTTAGATGATGTTGGACTTGTTTAACAGGTTGTAATCAGTGAATTCGTCCACGCCACTTTCGTGCTTCTCTATATGGTATGAATTCAATACCTGATTGGCTGATTTCAGGGGCACGTATCTACTAATTTGATAGGCATTAGTGGAATGGGGTTATTTTCAATAAAATCTAATCAGATGATTTGAGACCACCAGTGAACCTGGGCAGTAGTCCGTCCCGCTGTCATATTAAACTTGTCCCCCGTTTCCGCCATTGTAGGGACTAGTTTGGATGTACAAACCCGTACTGAATTCGTCGAATAATTCAAGCCCCGTGGGGTAGTCAAAGCCGAAGTGCTCCAACGTGCCGATTTTGCGAGACAAACAAGGCCTTTCTTGACCTGACCTGCTGGGCCGGACAACTGCATCTGCACGGACACCATAGAAACAGCATGTATTTGATGTTACCCACACTAGCTTTTTCTCATAATCTCCCCTATCCTCTAGGAGTTGGCTTTGTACAGTAGGCGACTCAATAGTTCGTAAGTAATTCGGTCCATCGTCAGGAGAAGAATGTTCGCAACTGCAATGCAAATACCCACCCTACTATTATCTTACATTGAAGAGACGCGCATCCTGCTCATCATATGCCTATGGCTGCCATCTGACTTATACAACAAGCCGACGTTACTTTCTTTCGTTCCTTTCTCGATAACTTTCGCTTGAAAACATAACGCCCCAAAGCTTTTGTCACGAAGCCAGAACGAATCAGACCGAAGACTCGACCAAGGCAGACCTACCGTAGGGAATGCACGACCCTGATCAATTCCCAGATGGCGGATTCACAGTTCGGTTTTGCGTCGCTGGAGACTTTTGTTGTGCATTCTGTTCCTTTTGCTGGAGTTAAGATGGATGCAAATTTTGAGGGCAAATTTCGTAAGTTGTGGGGCGGTTGATTATCTAGTGCTTCTTATTAGTGGAGAGGCTGGTATTTCAACCATTCGATCAACAACAAACGATGATTCTAAATCCCAGAAGTCATTACATCACATTCCGAACATATACAGCTGGGACTATTTATTGTCTAGATTCTGGAGCTTCACCAAATACATCTTTCCATGATATATTGAATGGGCCCTAGATCTAACGCTGAGTACCTACCTGGGTACCTATTAAGATTAGATGCTAAGCCCAAATTTTCTGCCTTGAAAAGAAAAGATCCCTGAAACCCCCAAAAACGCCCAAAGAGAAATCTCACGTGGACTTTGAGGACATTTCTTAGGGAACTCTGAACGGGAGTCGAACCGGAAACGACTTAAGCCAGTGGAAATCTTCGAATGCACAATTCTCTCGCAACGCATGGCTGTCAGATGTTCCTACATAATTCATCCCCGAGATTGGCAATCTGATCAATCATTTCATCCGTGGTATCATTCATGTTCCTGATGTATTTTTCAAATATGATCCAAACCTCGAGGTACTTGTGATCGCTCTCCTCAGTCGTGCCAATGTTCTTTTGGAAAGCCTTAAGCATCCCACCATGCTCTTTGAGTCTCTTGAACGACTGTCTGACCCTCTCCTTGTCCCTGTCCCCAGTTCGAAGCAATTTGATCTGAGCACAGTACAGCACAAGCGCAGCCAGTCCAGTGGCGAGCGCGGTAGCAACAGAGGAGCCGGTTTGGTATTCGATCTTCTCGTCCACATCCTTTCTCTCTACGTCGGTACCGGGAAATGTGAAGCCTAGGCTTTTATGATTGCCAACATCAGGGTTCGCCATACCTTTATCGGTAGCAGCTCCGATCCGAAATATATTGCTCTTGGCTGCGGCCCAAGGAAAGGTTGTGTCCTCGATTGGTCCCCCATCACTGGCAGAACAAAAAATAAGAATCTTTTTCTGGCGAGCTTCAGAGATAGCTGCCTCGAGAGCCTCTCTAGCTCTATTGTCATCTGATCGGGGTATAGTCCAAGACATGGATATGATGTGCACATCCTTAGCTACTGCCTCACGAATGGCCTATAGAAAGGTTAGCGTTATTCTGATCCGGAGAATGTTTGGCAACTTACTTGCGCGGCACTCAAAGGTTCAATCTGACGTTTGTTACCATACAAGTGATCATTCAGCTTCAGCACGTAGAGTTGGGCTCTTGGGCAGATCCGATATATTTGACTTGCCATTGCTGGTCCATGACCGAAGCTAGATATATAATAAGGAACGACATCTCGGTCTCGAGTACAAAAGCTCTGTCCTCCGTTATGCTTATGCTTTAGTCTAGTAATATCGATGCCGTCATCAATGAGTGCTACCCTAATGGGCTCCTCTAGTACTACAGCATTCTCGTCGGGATTAACTTGCAAGAAATTGTTTTCGGCTGCTAAAACAAGCGGTGCGAACTTATCCATACAATCGATCCAATCGTGCTGTGATAGTCGTCGAGGGTCTTTATTGACTGACCTTGCGCCTGGGTTTAAAATTCGATGCGGTACTTCTGGTCCGTCTGTAAATACTTGGACCTTATCACACAATGTTTCCATTCGTTTTTTGAATGAGTCGATATCAGATATTGTACGGTTGTAGGAATTTAAGTAATCCTGCAACTCTCAGTCAGCAAAAGAATACTAGGTATCTTCAGGGGCATAGAACTACCTGTCGTGTGTGGATATACACGGCTTCTAAGTGCTTAAGCTGCTTAAGTCCGCCCTCTTCGCCCCAACCTCGAAGCACAGCATTATTACCGCTCCAATAAAGATGTACAGCTCGTACCTTTGGGGCCACAGTCTCTATGACACCGGTAGAAATATCTATTTTCTGCCAGTCCCATGTCTCGACACCAAACCCCTCCAGTGCTTTTTCGATGCTTTCGTCACTATGAGCTAGACTATCCAGGTCTTTGACGCTGATACTCAGTATTGTTTTTACTTTCATTTTTTCTCGCAACCATCCGAATACGGATTCAAGATTAGAAAGCCCTTTACTTGAAGTTTTCGATGGGGCAGACGAGGTTCGGATCTTCCCACTATTGGCTGCAGGTTTAGGCCTTAGAAGAGTGAAACTAGCAGGAACTGACACTCGCTGGAGGATGTCATCGAACTTCTGATTCTCGAAAAACCTCTCAAGCTGGTCACTAGTGATTTCCGTTTTCTCATACACACCAAGATCGAAAAATATTTGAACATCTAATCGCCACAGTGTTAGCAGTTTTTATTCATCTTTCAGCTAATGAACCAGATAGATTCTCTGAAAATAAGGGATTGGCCCGACGAGAGATATATTTTGGGCATAATTACCAATTCCAAGTCTTGGGGGTCTCCCATGGATTATAGCATACGCATCATCATGGCTGCGGGTTCGTAGGTAGTGTAGTTTCAAGAAGGTCTTCACATTTTCGACAGATGTTGGCGTTCTCCTGGGGGCACGGCTCTCTTGGTCTTTCGTTCGTTTTGACTTAGACTTTGACTTCGATGTTTCTTCTCCCTGTGGTAGTTCGACTTCATTTACACCAGGCTCTTTCCAAGAGACGCTTAATGTTTCTGTAGCAGCGAAACCCCTTTCAGCTGAGAACTCTCCCTTTAAAAGTCTCTGTGTGTTGGAGCGAACTGGAGGCGTTGCTACAAAGTCTGCATCACTTCTGGGCTTTGGAGGCTCATTAGAAGCAGTCAAGGTTTTGGGTTTGCTCCCTTTCGATAACCCCTTCTTATCATGGCCAGATATGGAACTGCTGCCATTGTCGCGGGCCTTTTTTGCCTTCTCTCTTTGATAGTTTAGAGCAGTGAACACATGATAAGAATAAGGTGACATTTTGACATTGTTGTACATTGGGTTTTCACTGAACTTATCTAATCCCTCCGTCTCCTGCATTTCTATGTCGCACTTTTTGATTATTTTTTGGATCACTTGCAACTGATTGGGTTTGCAACGTCGGTATTCCACAGCGAGATGTAGCGGCGTATTGCCTTTCTCGTCCCTGGCACTGTAAGATCGGCGAGTCAGTATTATCTATTCAAAAAAGATTTTTGAGGAAAATGAGGAACCAAAGTTGTATTAGGAAGTAAGTGGAGTGCAATGCAAGGCATATAAGAATCGATTTTGAGATTGTGGAAAAGAATCAATCATGTATTGAAAACAAAGACTTTTGTAAACCCATTATGCTCACCTCAGAGTCTTAGGCCCTGCCTGCTCCACAAGCGACAGAAGAAATGGCACTTCATTCTCGACAGCCACATGGAGACAATTCTTCTTCCTATAGTTTTTTATCGAGAGAATTTCGTCGATATATTCAGGCGAGCGTGCCTGGCAAATGCAATCGACCAGATCACCTTTTTTATTCTTAATGGCATCGTGCAATGGAGTAGATCCAGCATTATCCTTCGCTTCAAGCAAATTCTTAGGATTCCGCACTAAAAAGCCAACCAATTGCGATAACTTCTTCTTCTCTAATTTCAGCTTTCCGTTCAAATCTCCCGTTGCAAGTAAGTGCAACGCGGTTGGATTTTTGCTGTTTCCCTCGTCGGTTATCCTCGTGAGGAGTTCAATCAGGTTTCCAATGGGCTTGCCGCCACGCTTGTAATCTTCGAACTGCTCATAACGAGTAAAGTCTTTACTCTCGAGAAATAGTTTGACCCATTCCTCGTTCTTTCCTTGGCTGAGGGCCTCAACAACCTCCTCTAGTAGCTGTGAAACTGGTGGCACGTCGCTCACATTTGTCTCTTCGTCATCATTGCTAACAGATTCATTGCTAGAGTCACTTTCATCTCCAGGACTGATGGTTTCTTGAGTGTGATAATTTGGGAAGCTCATCGTGGATATTCAAACTGATGTGCGTCAACTTCTTTTGTGGGTGATCCTTTTTGCTTATCTTACGGTACAACAATAAATGGAAACCCCGCTCGCTTTTTATTTATCAGGATATTATGCATGATGTATCCGAAATTGTCTCAACGGTCCACCATAGTAGTCACCCTGCAGGTGTCACTTGTATACATGAAATGCCTGATTAGGTTCAGTCATTCAATATTGGGGGCCAGCTGGATAGTTTTAAAAGTGGAAATATAATGTTTTCATCAACAAAATCAAGAGAACAATCATGATGAACACTTCCCCAAGCATTTTCAAAGTTGCAGTGCCTTGCAAGTTACCGGGCAATGTCGCCGGATTTGACGACACCTCTTTCAGCATTGATTTAGGCCATTTCGGCGAGCAAGACAGTAGCTACCGCACACAAAATCTCGGAAATCAGTTTCAGCGCGAAACTGTTACTCACCGTGAGAAAGGAGTTTTCGTTCAGTGTATCTCCCGTGAAGTCATTCACGGGCTTGTGGATCCTAATTCCAATAAACCAGCAAGTCTACTTGTATACGACTTCTGCTTTGACGCCAAAGGACCTACTCGTCGCATCTTATCGGCTGATATTACTTTTATATTCAGTAGCATTGACGAGGAAGTGGAAGCGCCACAGGTGCATAAAATTGCTCCCGTCGGAAAACATCTTTGTATGTTCACAAATCAAACCGAGTCAATAACGGCGAGTGGGGAGGTCAATGCAAGCGCAGGGTACTTGGGAGCGAACTTGGGGATAGGTGGCAAGAGGGAGAGAACAGTCTCCAAGACTACAAGCGATGCAGCATCTGTCACAGGTTTCATGAAGTGTGACACATTCGGCACCAATATTGGAGCAAGATGGTACATCGAGGAGAACTACACAGAGAGAAAGGGGATACCGCACTCTCTTCGGGTCGCTCTTCTTCTTCATCGAGAAGACCAAGCCAATTTTCAGTGTGTGACAACTATCAGTGTAAAAGCTGACTGGAAAACCGAGCTGAGACGATTTATTGGATCTTCGGAGGATAAAGACGACCCGATTTTGTTTGATACAGCTATCCCTCCAACAAGCACCCTACACGACATCCAAAATTTAGGGGCGATCAACTTGGAAAAAATATTTGACATCACCTCGTATGCTAAATTTGAAAGCTCTGTGAAATAGAGTGGACCTATGAATCACTACGGAATCGAGTTGTTGCCTCAGAATTTGGCTTGCATGATACGGATATTTCAAGAAGAGTTGGGATGCACATCCACCATATTTGATTTGATTGTTTCCGAGGCTGAAAACAGCCGTTAAAGTCGTTATCTTCGTAATAGGAAGCTAGATTGTAGAGCGGCCTGCAAAGGGAAATTATCGCAGCCTGTCATCAATTTCCGTAAGCCCGACTACTTTCAGCAATAAAGACCTATTTGGTTGTACTACTCTACAAAATGTTTCCATGGAGTTGAGTGTCGCAGCCTGATCAGTCGTTCATTTATCAATCCACAAATAACAATTTAAGTTAAATTATAGCTCTTTTGTAAATTTTTACCTGCCGCGAAATATCTGATAGATCATTTTCAAACCCCAAGCCTGAGTTGAACATCCCATCGTTAGGTGATGGAGTCGATGCCGTGCTAATTGACGAAATACAATTGGACTTCACAGGCTCTGAAGAGGAGAGCTTAAGAGTGGTCTCGAGTATTGAGGAGACTACCAAGACAGTCAACATTGAGTAAGTTTTGATTTTCATGAATTAGATCCGTGAAGACACTCATAGGTGATTAAATTATAGCTTTGTAGTCATCCATGGACTATTCGGTAAAGAGTTGAATAGAGATCGATGGTTCGATTGTGGACCGGATAGTTGGCTTACCCAGTATGCCAACTCCTTGAAATCGAATTCCCGGATCATCGAGTTCAAATATAACGCGAGTGTTATCGTGGATGGAGACTCGGAAGAGACCATTTCTGGAATTCGTCAGATTGCATTGAGTTTGTTGAGCAAGCTCAAGAATTTGAGGAAGGGTGAAGTTGTGAGAAAACCCAGCAAGATGGTCCACTTGTGAAATTCTGTGATAATTGACGAATGTTAGACTCGAACAATCATGTTCCTTGGTCGTGGCATAGGCGGAATCATCGTTAAAGATGTAAGACCTTCAAAGAATTCCACTCACGCAATGACTCACAAGTTATCACAGGCTTTAGTGGCTGCTTCAACTGGAATGGGGGATTGGGATGATATACTCGATTACAGTCGAGTCCTGGTAATTCCATGATACCATCACCTGATCCATGATAACTTGTAGCTAACATAGTAAGTTATTCTCCGACTGTCCCCACAAGAGTCGAGACCGAAATCGATTAGAGAACAGTCTGGGCTATACTTTATTTGCAACACGGCCAGACTTCTCCCAGAGCGCTAGCCCATTGTTTTTTACAGGATCGTTGATATCAAAGCTCGCTTCTGAGGTTATGGAGGTCAATGCCTCATTCATATTGTCCAAGCTTCATCTAAGAAGCCATCTCATCAGTATTTACGAGGAAAGAAAGAAAGCCGACTATGTTGATGATCATGTAAGTACCTATCTTTTACTGGTCTTAATTCTCATGCATCATTTGATCAGAACAATGGTTGGAGCACCAAAATTATTGAAAGTAATTATCACTGCTCCGCGATTTGTGCTCATTTTGGAATGTAGACAACTATATAAGTTGTCTCTCTCGAGGACTTAATGTTGCCGTATTTCAATGACATATTTGAAATGAGTGTGGTTATTATTGTGCGGCTGACATACAGTAGCTTGATAATTTCTACAATTATACAATAGGGGTGCCGCTCTAAAGACGCTTAGCAAGGTCTGAGGAAGATACCCATAAGAGTAGCGTCTTAGATCATCTTGATGACTTGAAAGAATGTAAGTAGATTCTCTTTGAAAATTACTGGTACTAGGTTGTAAGCTAACAATTATCTCGAGGCATAATACCTCTTCATGAGTCAAGACTACGTCATGAGCGCCTTCTTTTGTCTTTAGCAACACCGTTGCGACCTCTAATTACCCCTTTAAACGAGACTTGGTGGTTGAAAGACTATACGAAATACAAACAATGGCTTGATTCCCCAGGAACGCAGCTCTTATATCTGCACGGTAATGTAGATGACGTAATTCAGGAAGCGGCATCACAAGCATTCTATCACCTTGAACGAGTGCAGAGAACACGAGACAAACAATTTCCGGTGCTCTTCTTTGAATTCGACTCATGGGATGCCCGCCGTTGCTCTTTATCTCACATGCTGTCCACTTTCATTGCCCAATTGACATGTCACTACCCAGATTGGAAGAACAACATTGAATATATGAGCTCTTGTGTTGAGAAAGAGCGTGGCTGGACCTACCGTGACCTGGTTAGTTGGTTTACGTTATTTAATCGCATAAAACAGTCGATTGTGATTAGCCGTTTCGACGAATGTGACATAGAGTCTCGCAGGGCGTTTTTAGACTTGATATCATATACTGCTCGGATGAGTGAGCATCCTTGGAAGATTGTTGTGACGAGTGGAACATCTAAAGTGTTACTAGAAGAATTGCGAAGCTGGCCAGAGGTTGATATCGTTGCGCAGTCTCCAGAGGATTATGCAGGAAGCATGCGACCGCGGAATTCTCTTACGCATAGAGAAAACATGATGTTGCAAAAATATCTATTGCGTTTCCCTAGGCTGGGCGATCATGATCGTTCAATCATATTGAAGCACCTAGCGGCAATAAATATTCCACTGCTGAAGACTCAATTATGGGGAGCTCTATCTTCTATAAAAGTTGAAGACAGCGAAGAAATCTTAGAATCAGTATTGGACAGTTACTTTCGGGGCATACCAGATCAGAACGTTGCGAAATGCGCACTAATGTGGCTTCTTCACTCGAAGAGGCCATTGTCCAAGAGGGAACTTGCCGAGATCATGTTTCTTGAGAGCGAGAATGATCGTGGAAACGACAGATCTCCCGACCCATCAGAAGTTGATAATTTCGTGGTGAAGTTAGAGCTATGGTTTGCAGGGTTTATCGAAGTTGAAAATGATGAGATGTTTGTACGAAACGGCAGACTAAGAGAAATTCTCGGAAAACATGAAAGAAAATGTTCGGATAACTATTGGTGGATCGAGGCTTCAGAGGCCGCTCATTTCAAAATAGCAAAGACATGCTTGAAGTACCTCTCGTTACCGGACACACAAATTAACTTGAAAATCCCGAATGGTGCTATGAGTGAGCGGAATCCAAGACTCTGTTTAGGTAATCTCTTGTCATATGCTGTACAGTATTGGTTTCAACACTTTCAATCTGCAAAAGACTCACAAAATTATCCTCTGGAGATACTGATAGGTCTAATTCAAAACATTGACCTTGAGAGTTGGTCGAGGATGTTTTGGGAGTTATCAAGCCCAATAACAAGGAGTCCTTCTCCCTGGGAGTCACCATTTCCAATTTTTGCTGGCCAAGGTGAAATAGATCTCATCAAAAGCAAGAATGACGAAGACTTCGGCGCAGGGTTAGTTGAAGCAAGTTTAAATGGCAGGCAGTCTACGGCTCACAGAATGCTAGATATTCACGAGTGCCCGACGCCTATCCTTCTCAATGCTATTCAGTTATCTACTGCAGGAGGGCATGAGCAATTGGCAATTGACCTTTTAGGTCGTTTGCCGACTGAAACCAAACTGAGTATTCAGCAGTGGGGGACAAATATTCTTTGGAGGTCAGCCAGAGCAAACCTTCATCGTTTGGCAGACACTGTGCTCAGTATGGGATGCGGTCCTGATCCTGAAGCAAAGTATGGCAGTGAATGGAACATGACACCTTTGTCCCAATGTTCGATTGACGGCCACTTGGAAATGACCAAAGTTCTCGTGAAACATAAAGCGAACGTGGAATTCCCAGGCTTGAGGAACCGAACTCCGTTGGCAATGGCTGCTTTAGAAGGCCACGCCAACGTAGTTAGATTTCTAGCAACACAAGCCAATGCCAAGATAGATGTTATTGATATAGATGGTCGTAGACCAATAGACAGCTCTTGTGTGTGGGGGAATCAGGAAGTTGTGATGGAATTGCTGCGACTCGAACCATACCTAAAATACTCATCTGAAGATCAGAATTCACCACTAGTCGCGGCTGCACAAAATGGAAACGATGAATGTGTTAAGATTATAATTGGCGATGAGAAAGCTGATAAGGGTATTTCAAGCCGCTTGAACATTGACTTAGCTCTTTTTCATGCCGCCCAATGCGATAAAATCACGACATGCCGTACACTGCTAGATTATGGTGCAAATATCAATGCGATTAAGCACGGGAATTCTCCCCTCACTGTAACAGTCAGGGTCGGCAACGAAGGAATCGTCAAACTGCTGCTCGATCATCGCCCGCGCCCAAAGGTTAATCTAAAAGACGGGACCGGGAAAACTGCCCTTTATAAAGCTGTACTCATGAAGAATACTGCATTGATTCGTTTATTACTAGATAATGACTGCGATCCAGATGTGCCAGTTGATGGTCCATACGTGGCTTTGCACAGCGCAGTCGCTAACAATGAGATTACTGAAATGTTAGGGCTAGTTTGGATGTAAAATCCGTGCTGAATCCGCTGAAATAATCTGTACTTTATGCCATCACAGATTCCGTGATAACATCAATCCGCTTCAAAAAGAGTGGATTATTAATCTGTGGTTTTATAGTTTGAATATCAAATCCGCCAAATAATTTGTGGTTTTTTTAGAATATTCAATTTAAATTTCAATTCGATATTAAAACCCTATATTTAAAATTAAAAACCATATAAAAAGCTTTAATAAAGTAATGATCTTGAAAAAGTACTTAGAATTGGAAAAGAAATACATTTTGATTTTATCTTTCTTTTTTCTTTTCTTTTCAAAGAAAGAACCTTTTTTTGAAGTATTTTTGAAGCTATTTTCTATATATAAAATTATTTTAATGGTTAATAATACAATCATTATCCAAAATACCTTGAAAGTGTTTAGGAAGTCGAAAATTATTAATGATAATAGCAATCGAAGATTTATATTTGTATGAAAAAGAGATAGAAGATCTCGAATTCGAAGTCCCTCTCCCCCAATTCGTTATTCCAAATAAAAGCCTAAACCTATAGCAAAAGCAACCGAATCTCAAAGCCAACTTCGAGATTATAATACCTCCTTCTTTTTTTTTATTAGAGATTTACTATCCAGCTTTTTTTACAATAACGATATCACCTTTAATCAGAAGAAGATACCCTCTACAAAAAAGAAAAGCTATATATAGGTATTTGATTCAAATAAAGCTTATTTTAATTATATTAATTTATAGTATATAGTAGGATTCCGAAATCGATAAAAGGCTTTCAATAAATATCAATATAGATAGTAATAAGAACAATAACGACGAGAGGGATATCAATAATAGTTACAATATCAATCAAAATCCAAAACATAATATTTGTAGTGGTTTAAAAAGTAAAAAGAACCTTTTTACCGATATTATTGAAAGAGAGAATAAATCAGTAAATCTGGAAATTGAGATTAAAAATATTTTGAAGAAATCTACAAATTAGTTCAAATAGAAATCCTATAAAAAGCTTCTTTTAAATTTAATACAAAGTTATCTATAGAAGATTAGTTAATAATTAGATTAATTCACTGAATAGAGAATATTTTATTATAATTAATTTGCATAAGCTATTGCTTTAGAGTATAAGATACGCATTAATAATAATAAGAATTTAATTAATGATTAAATTAAAAAGAAAATCAATTTGGTATGAATATCCTCTTTTTTTATTATTTATTTGATTTAATTAATTTGATTTAGATTAAGGAACGTTATATAGAGTGTTGATATCTTTTTAATCTATCTGGTTGGGGTATTAGATTTAATGAAAAGAATGATATTATATAGCCTTATACATCTAATCATTTATGGAAAACGCTTCTATAAGCAAGCGAAGCTAATAATCGAAAATATCATTAATATCGAAGTCATTATATAGAGAGCTAATTGATTCTTTAATTTCTATTCGAAACTTATATAGCTAGTGGTAAATTTGTATATCATTCTATAACTTTAATATAATAAACAATTATTTCTTTGGATAAAAAGGATAATCTTACTGATTCAATATGCTCTATACTTTTTTCAGATAAAAATACTAAAAGATGGAATAAATATAGCTTTAGGATATATTATTTATTTTTTATTTTATTTATTTATATTAATTAACGTCTGTTTTGGATCTCCCTAAGGGTATTTAGACATGCTAAGATAAGGAACTATTTAAGCAGCGTGATCGTTGCGATTGAATTTAGCAATTTACCTTCAATGCCAGGGGCTATTCGCTCCTCTGCGGGTGCGATCCGCTTCTGTTTCCAGAAGGGAACGTCTGATTCAAGTTGTTGTTGAGGTAGAGCTTGGTTTCCGGGTAGATAAGCTTGTTGTGGGCTTCGATCCTTATAGTAGAGGAGAAGAAGCGAGAGTGGGTTGCTATTTGTTTAGCCGAGTAGCAGGGCTCTTGTGTTATATATTGGGTTTGCGGTTTTTAGGGTGTAGTGTATTCAAATGATCAGTTGAATGATGAGTTTATAAGGGATGGACAGCAAGCTTTATTGAAAAGATTGTTGCTTTCTAAGGGTCCTTTAGTAATTAGGACAAATCTGAGTGTAGAACTTTGAGTCGGTGATTAGCTGAATAAACTTACTAGGTGTGTGTAAGAGTTTCTTGATATATGTAATCGCCTGCTTGTTAGATTGCATTTCTATAGGGGCAAGGGGCCAGTCTGAACGCTTTAGGTTGTTTATAGTGTATTTAAAGAAATGATATGGTTTCTTAGCGTTGCTGTATGAGCAGTCCAGCTTGTTGTTTTGATAACCAAATCGCTGATAATAAGCGGTATAGTCGCTGTGGCCTGTTTTCATAACTATCAATCAATATAAGACTGCTCTTGGTAGAGTTAGTTCCTTTGACTCCTTTATACTGTATCTAGAAGACCACTCCTTGTAGCCAGCGGAGAAAGAGGAGTTCATCTTTTCCCACCAAGTAGATTCTGCGTGTAGGCACTTCTGACAGACGATCGTTCGGACCCCAGCTTTAGGATATACAAGATAAGGAATTCATATTTTTGAGATATATTTTATTATTAATTGATTTATAATTAGAAACAGAGTAATATAAATAATCTATTACGAGCTACACATTATCGAAAAGATCTCGAAAAACTGTTTCTTTTGAAATTGTAGATAGTTTATTTTATATTAATAAATCTTTAAGAGATTTTAATAAATCAAAAAAAAAACCACTCTAGCGCCTTACATATTCAAATCGACAATTCATTGCCCTTTTAGTATCAAGTATACTATATAATCATATAAAACTATTTTAGTAAATATAAATCCCTAGGGGCTGATATTGCTTTTAAACTTGTTAATTTTCTATAATATCCGGTATCTGATATTTATTAATTTTATAGTGAGCTACTAATATTTATGTGTATAGACTCATTTCAAGCAGAGTTTGTGGATAAGATCTATAGAAAGCTTAAAGAGCAGTATGAAAAGAAAAATAATGAAATGTTTTTATTATCCACTCTTTTATAATAAGCTTTAAATAAAGATAACTTCCAAATTCTAATAGTTTTTGATTTGATAGTTCTATTCACTCTGTTCTCTTTATTATATATTTTTATCAATATAACCTTTATATTTATTCAATTAGATATTAATATTATATCTTTTAATATCTTTATCTTATTTGATATTAACAATATATAAATATAAATAATATTTATTCATTAGTTCTAGATATATAAAATAAAGAATATAAGTATATAATAACTAGCTAATAAGAAATAACAAATAAGAAATAATTGGTAAAAAATAGTTAATAAGAAATGACTAATAAGAAAACTATAAAGTTTAGCCTCTCAAAGTATAATATCCACCAATAATAAGGATTATCAGCTCTATTATTCTTTAAAGAAAAATGCTATCTGTATTTTTAATAATTTGCCTTTTTATATGAAATACACAATATTATAGCACTATAAATTAAATCAATAATTTACTCAATTAATAAATAAAAAGAATAAAAAACACATTCTCAAAATAAGTAACTATAAAGGATTCAGTTGTCTTTTAAATTATTACAAAAACAATAGCATTCTATTTCTAATACTTTCCATTAAGTGCAAATTGATTCGAAACCTTTTTAATTAAATATTGAAAAAGGGCTTTTTTTAAGAGCAATTCGATTGATTTTTGATATTTTTTAATTTTTTATAATGTAATTACTATATTCAATTAATAAGAAAGAAGCTTATAAATCAAGAAAAGGTTTATTTACTCCTTGTTTTTTATTGATAAGCTTTTTTAGTAACTTCTGCTTTTCCTTTTTTAGACTGCTTTCTTGCATTTTGAACCTTTACTTTCGAAGTTTTCTTTATACTCTTATTTTTAAAAAAAGGTAACCTTCTATCTATACCTAATTCTTATTTATTTGTTGATCTTTTTTCGATATTAGTATGTAATATAGCTTCCCTATATAGTATGTTTATAGTTTATATTATAGCTATAGAATTTCCTGGAATATAGCGCTTTTAAGGCTTAGATTTGAATCATTTCAATTTATTATAGAAAGGTTTCAAATATTTAAGGAATGTATATCTAAAAAGCTTCAAGAATAAGGGCGAAAAAAATAAGTATTGAAAAATTAAATGTTTAGAAATATGTGTTTATGAATTAATATATTACGTATCATGTAATTCAACCAATAATACTATTTATTTCTTATGGAATATAATTATTCCGAATACGAAAATATTACAAACAGTACAAATAACGCGCTTTTAGGAATAATAATAATAACAATAATAATAAGTATTATATTTATAATATTGAATCTCTTCTAAGCTTTAAAAATCAAAAGATATTAGTAGTAACTAAATCTAATAAGAAGAAGCTATAGGGAAAACAAGAAGAATATTTGCAAAAGCGAAAAGCTAGAAATGCATACAATTGAAAGGCAAGAATAATATCTAAAGAATTAAAAGTCGAAAAAGAGAAAGATAGGAAAAAGCATCAGATTTCCTATGCTTTGAAAGTGCTTGCAAAACTTCTGATTTTTTAAAGGCATTGAAGAATAGACAAGATGAAATGGTTGCACAAATTTGATTGAATATCGAAATGCGATAATCCCAGTATGTGGATCCAAATGAAAATCTGATTTTAATTAACTTTATTTAGAAAAGTGTTGAAGGCAAAAAACCTTGTTCAAAATAACGATAATTCTGTATCAGAGTCTGAATCAGATGATTCCGAAATAGATTTTGAGGGTTGGGAAGTCGATATTGACGAGAAAAAGGAAGAGAAAGAGGAGGAATCTGATAATAAAAAAGAG